CACTCCAGTCTGGGTGACAGAGTGAGACTCCAACTCAAAAAAAAAAAAAAAGAATGTAACAAGATTCTTACATTGCCTATCATTGCACCTTCTGCTTCTAATTCCTACCGGGATGTTTGAAGGGTCTTCTTCACCTGTACTAGTCCAATACAAGTGGCTGATTAACTTAAATTAATTAAAATTAAATGCAATTTAAAATTCAGTTCCTTGGTTACACAAGCCATATCTGAAAGGCTCAATGGCTACGTGTGGCTGGTGGCTCCCTACTGAACAGCAGTTGACACAGAACATTGCCATTATAGACATGTCTGCAGAACACTGTTGTTAAGGGCCACATTCGCACTTCCATGCAGTAGGAGAATTGGGCCTGGGTTCCCTTTGCAAGGGTTAAATTAGTTCAGTAGGCCACTAATGTGTTAGAGGTGAGAGGCCATAAATTGTACGTACTCCAGTTGGATAAGGGGCGGGACTGTGTTCAGGTTTGTAAGATGAATTTCAGTGTTGACATGTGAGGTATTCAAAGTGTGTTGGGGGAAGGATTCTCAGTTTTCATATATGATTCTTCAAGTGTTCATAAATCATGTAGAATACTGTGTGCTGTGATTTTCATTCCCTTTGCAACCAATAATATCAGGATTAGTAAGAATAGACCTGAAGATTCGTGGACAAAAAGTACAAAATGTATTTGAAAGGAGGGACCCCTAGAAACTTAGAATAAACTTAGTTCACATTTTGCCTCAGCATAACCATTTTGGCTTAAACTGACATGCTGTGAATCTAGCACAGGTTAGACATAGACAGCTAAATTTCCAACAGGCAAGTTTTAGGAAACATTCAGACATTTTACTGCAGGCCAAGCTGGCAGCCTACCCCACCCCCTCAGCAAATCTCCATCAGATACAAGACAAGGACAACTCAACCTTTTGATGTATGGTTTAGCATAATAATCTCTAAGAAACTTTCAGGGTCCTTGTAGAAGACAGAAGGTCAATGATCACACCCCTCAGCTGGATGAAGCAATAGAAATAAAAATAAGACCACTTGTTTGCTAAGGAGCTTGTGAATTGGAAATGTCTGACAGGTCTCTTGCAGGAAAAGCCCTTCCCCTTGCCTCCTCCCATCTAGCCCACCACCATGGCAGCAATCATGTGACTAAACCACACATCTGCCTGCTGTCCATCACCTG